GAAGGAAGGAAGGAAGGAAGGAAGGAAGGAAGGAAGGAAGGAAGGAAAGAAAGAAAGAAGGAAATAATAGAAGACGGCCAAATGCCAAAGAGCAGAGAACTATGGGCTATGTGAGACAGTGCATGGAGCTCACAGCCCCATGAGGTGCTGAGAACTAGTCCTAGACTGTGTGGGTTAAGGACAAACCAAAGACGAGGCACCAGGAGGTGAAGGTCAAAGAATGCATCTTTATTTATTTACTCTTCTGTGGTGCTGGGTTTTGAACCCAGGGTCTTGCACGTGCTAGGCAACACCACCCCTGAGCTACAGCCCCAGGAGAGAGTGTCTTTTCAAAGTCTGCCAACCAGGGTTGACACCTTAGGCTAGAAGAATGAGTAACTACATGGAATGCTGAGTGAGAAGAGGCAGTGGGCAGAAGAGTCTGCACAGCAGAAAAGGCTGATAATACAGAGTCAGTGAGGTGACTGGACGAGGAGAGGACAGTAAAGTCAAGAGAACCTCATCCGAGGCTGGAGATAGGGAAGTAAAGAGGTTCAAGTGCGACACTCATTGCCATCGACAGCAATCCTGATGGTGGAGACAGCAGTCATCTCCACTTGATGAGGCGAGAGGTTTGGGAGTGCCACTGAGGAACCTGGTCAGAGGAGCTAAGTCCTGCACAAGAAGGTAGGGAGCTTAGTCCCGCTGACACTACAAGCTTATAGGCACACTAGCTAGACCATACGAGCTTGTAGGCACACTAGCTAGACCATATGAGCTTGTAGGCACACTAGCTAGACCATACGAGCTTGTAGGCACACTAGCTAGACCATACGAGCTTGTAGGCACACTAGCTAGACCACTCAGGTGGTCCCCCTATCGTGTTCCAACACAGAAGGAGGAAAGGCACACAAACAGGCAGAAGAAAAGGTTAGGATCTGCACAGTGGGCTGGAGGACAAGGCGAGGCACTGAGGAAGTCACTGCCACAGTCTGCCCTGTCTGAGGTCACTGTCAACCAGACAGCTTCGATTCTCTATCATGAGGCGTCTACGAAGTCAAGTCTATTGCTGAGTTAGGAGAAGAAAGGGGGCTGGAGGGATGATGGTTCAGCAGTTCCGGGCCCTGGCTACTCTTGAGGATGGCCCATGCTCAGTTCCCAGCACCCACACGGTGTCTCACGAGCATCTGTAACTCCAGTTCCAGGAGCTCTGATAGGCTCATCCAACTCCACAGGCACACACGTGCGCACATACATGCTTGCATGCATGCAAAACACGCATAGACATGAAATGAAATAAACCTTCAAAACTTAAAAAGAAAGCAAAAAGATGAGGAAACATGCCTACAAAGGAAATAAGGTAACAAAGGGCAATGGGACAGGAGAAAGGTGGTGTGACCCACTGAATTTCTCTGCAACGGTAAGCGCAACAGACACGGGAAGCGGGAGATGCGCTGGACCAGGGAGACCCTCCCCGCCAGAACCACACGAGCAGCGTACCTGTTTGGGCTCTGCAGGCTTTTTCTCTGGTGTTCGGATCTTATTAATTTCAGGTCCGGGGTTATTTGTATCAGTTTTACCTAAGAAGATATTTTTAAATCCTTATGAATTTTCTGCAGTGAACGTGACATTTCTAGTGACTAGTCAACACTAAATAGCACAGAGCAGTTTACACATCATTCACTCATTGTTGTCACTTTCCACTCCTATGCATGCTCTAGCCCTCAATTTTCAGAGCTGCAGTTTCCCTGCAAAAATGAAGAAGTTAGAAATGAAAAATGACAGAGCGAAAGCTTCACCAAAGGGAAGCAACCTGAAGACAGCAAATAAAAAAGAACATGGTCAACTCTCCAGAAATGTACAGTCTCATTTCTTTAATACTAGACATAAAAGGCCTTGGCATTCCTGCCTGTTTACAGAGGCTTAACAGTTTGTTCATTTGCAAATGCAACTAAGCAAAAATCTAAATAATGTATCAATCCAATTTACTGAAAGAATCTAAGCTGACAGTTAGGGTTTGGATCTAAACGCCCCTGAAGGCCCATATGTGAAGTGTTGTGTTCTCCAGCCTTGTGCTACAGGAAGAGGAACTTAGGACGTGGGGACGTAGAAGTGGACACTGGGATTCCAACCCCCTTCTCTCTGATTTTTTGCTTTACTCCCATGAACTGCACAGCCCTTCTATCAAACGTGCCATCATAATTTACTGTGCAGCCACAGGCCCACAGCAATGGGACAGAGCAAGGATGGTCTGAATCTACCAGAACTAGGAGCCAAAGGACATCTTTCCTTCTGATCGACGGTTAACATGAGGTATTTTGTCATACACACTGACATGCTGAATGAATACTCCAAAAGAAATCTAAGTTAGAGTATGCAAACATTTTAATCACAGAGAGGTCACAGCTTACAGAGAAAGCAAATTTAAGGTTTTCAAAACACAATTATAGCAGACTAGCCTAACTTCACGAGTGTGTGGGACTTTTAGTCTGTAAGAATTAAGCAAAGGGCCTAACTTGGGTGAGAAATGTCCTAGCAGTGGCCCTAGAACCAACTCAGTAAACCAACTATCATGGCAAAACTGACTTCCCACTAGACGCCAAGAAATGAGAACCAAAATATGCAAGGTTGAAAACCAGTGATGGCCAGACAGTGGGTAAGAAAAACTAGGCAAGTTAAAGAGTAAAGCAACAGAAATTACCAGAACCAAACCACAGAGAAAAACACGAAAAAGAACCAACAAAGGGTCAGCCATGAGCTTTGGGGAAACTTTATACATATGAATGCACAGGCAAATGGAACCACAAAAGAAGAGGGCAAGGAGTAAGTCAGAAAAAAATATCTGCTGATACCAAGCTTGAAATCTCCAAACATCGTAAGGACTATAAAAAGATCCAACATACACACACAGAGCAAAAACCAACCAAACAAAAACATTCCCTAAGGCATATTATAACCAAACTGGTAAGACCAGTACAAAATAAAAATCTTTAAAGCGGACAGAGAAATCATAAAATACACACACATGAAAAAGAACACTCATGATGACCCCACACATACTCCCCTTCTGTGCTAGAAAGCAAATGCAGGGGTTCAGACTGCCAGGCAAGCACTCAGCCACTGAGCTGCACCCTAACCTACCTTAACTCTCTTCTTAAAATTCTTTAAAAGGAGCTGGGCATGGTGGTGCATGCCTTTAATCCTAGCACAGAGGCAGGCGACTTCTGTGAGCTTGAGGCTAGCCTGGTCTACAAAGTGAGTCCAGGACAGCCAAGGCTACACAGAGAAAGCCTGTCTTGGGGGGGGAAAAAATCCTTAAAAAGATATTTGCCTGTTCGAACAAAAGAACTAGAAAGACTTTTTTTTTTTTTTAAAGTAAACATACATAAAAGTAAAAGCCCAGAGAGGTAGTTCTGGACTACTGCACGTTCTTTCACTGTACATGGGGTGTGGAATGTGAATTGGAACATAAGCTCCAAAAGATAAATACTAGCCCAATATAACTAAGATACTATTAACTATGTCATAACTAATAAGCCAACAATGACTATTAAGTGGACTTAAAAGAACAAACAGCAAGTTCACTGAACCTAAGATTGAGTTTAAAACAAAAATCAGTTTCAGTGTGGAAGGGCACACCTTTAAACTGAGGATTCAGGAGGAAAAGGCAGGCAGATCTCTGAGTTTGAGGCTAGCCTGGTCTATGTAGGGGATTCCGAGCCAGGCAGGGCAGAGAGGAGGAGGGCTAATTAGAAACTATCTACAGCTACATGCTTCGCAGCTTCTTCTTCTTCTTTTTTTTTTTTTTTTTTTTTTTTGTGCTCAGGGGAAAACATAAGTGAAATGTGCATTTACCACTGCACTGTAGCCACAACCTCAGAAATGTACCTTAAAGACACAAGCAGATTAAAAGCAAAAAGACCAAAAACAAGTGTGCATTGCTGTCACCAGTCACAAGAAAGCCCAGGAACTACACAGACATTGGCCACGGTAGACCTCAGAGCCAAGACCCCCACCAGGGACAGTCAATGCATAATGCTATCATCAACAGAGAACACACTGTTGGGTGCCCACCTCCTAACAGACCCTCAAAATTCACAACAGAACAAAGAAAATCCAGACAAGCCTGGCACAAGAGCACATACCTGTTCTCCCAGCTCTTGGGGGATGTAAGGCAGGAACATTAGGAGTTCAAGGTCAGCGCAGGCTAGGTAAGCAGTTCAAAGCTAGCCTAGCTGAGACTTTGTCTCAAAATATAAAAACAATACAAAAGACAAATAAATTGTTCTCAGAGACAAATTTCTGCCTTCAGTGAGTGACAGAGAAACAGGCAAAAGCCAGCAAGGACTCAGAAGACTGGAGTAGCAGTCCTGACCAGCTCACCCTGAGCAGCCCTGTGCATCTAAGTTCTTGTGGAGCACTGATAATGACAAACCTCAATAATTCAACAAGATTGATGCCAAAACACAATATGCTCTCTGACAATGATGGAATTAAAAATAGGAACAAGTAACAGAAAACACTTTAGAAAACCAGTAATAATCAGGAACGGAAACTCACTATTCTAAATAATTCATGGACATAATCTTTTTGGTTTTGAAACAGGGTCTCACTACATTGTAGCCCAGGTTGGCTTGGATTTCATAATCCTCTTGCCTCAGTATTCCCAGTGCTGAGATTACCAGCAAGCACCACCCACCCAGTCCTTGGATCTATTTTAATTCTAAGAGAATTTTTATTTCAACTAAATAAAAATGCAAAAACACATCAGAATCTGTCGAATGTACTAATGCGGAAGACATTTACTCTAAACAAACCATTTTAATCAAGCTCCTACCCTAAGAAAAATACGTCTAAGGCTTTACACTTAAACTGCTTTTAAATGGTGATGAAAATGAAGACCTAACGAGATAGGGACACATACAGCCTGTCCATAGACCAGAGGCTCAATAAAGCCCCAGTTCTTCCAAAAGCGGCCTAATGACTTACTGTAAGCCAAATCAAACATGTGCTGCGGTATAGTGGTGAGCCCAGATGCCTTCCAAATCAAAAGCCCAGCTGGCTTCTGGTTTTGTTTTTGTTTTCTTAAAGACAAGCTGATTCTGAACTGTTTATGGAAAGGGAAAAAAAACCTGCAGTAGACAATTCTGGAAAAGAATGAAGTGGGTGCACTTAAACTCCCTGTTCTCCTAAGTACCATGCAGTACAACGCTGTAGTACTTGGGCCGGCATGTCTAGCTCAAACACAAAGATTGTGCTGATGAAAAAGAGTAGAGTCCAAGCACGTGCCTCAAGGCAGCTCAGTGCCGAGAGAACACAGCCTTCTATAGAGGGTCCTGGCGCCAATGACCATAGACATGACAACGCAAAAAAAAAAAAAACAAACAAACAAACAAAAAACACTGCCACCGGGCCAGTCCCCACCTCCCACCACACACAAAGCTCCCTCAAGGACCTGGGGGCAGGGTGGAAGCGAAAGGTTTCTAATGGGATTGTGACCTACCATTTCGGTTTTGTTCCTGTTGATCCTTCTCTGGGTGCTGATTCTGCGGCTGCCCTAGGCTGACAGGTGGGTGATGTCCAAGGCCATAAGGGATTGGTGATCCACGTCCATGTGTATGTAATAGGTTCATATTATAGGCCATCGCTGCCTGATGGGTAATAATCCGAGGATCAACTGCAAACCTACCCTGGTACCCTGTCCATGGCACCTAAATTATTACAAGAAACAAAGTAATTAAACTAAGTATATTTCTAAACACAAACTGATGATAGTGTTGATTAGTAAAAACATAGACACAGAGATGACAATTTTACCCAAGCACCATGTTGATATCACTCAACAGTAACAATGGGTAGAATTGCTTTGAGGTCCTTACTGGCCAAAACCTGGCTCTCAAATTCCTTAGCATATAAGAAAAAAATGGACCACTGAATTAGCCTGTTTGGACAAATGAGGGTTAGAAGAAAATGAGGACTTGAAACTGGTATTTACTCCCCAGGATATCAAAGCAGTTTCACTTGTGTATCATTCCCCCGCACACACACGAATGTACCTACCACAGATTTACCATGAAATGGAGCTTTCAAGTCAAAACTGCATAGTTATATATTTTAACAGCTAGGATCAAAGACTAGAGGGGAAGTGTAGGTAGTCTCTGCTCCAAGAGTGGGGCTTCTACCTCCACGTCAATGACAATCATTGAATTCTTACTCCCAACAGGCAAAATTCAAACAGGTCATTATTTTAATTTGTGTTTTTGATCTATTCACCTCTACCTTAAATCACAGAGGGAGAAAAGCTTATCTAGACATACATAATCCCTTCAGAGCTACACAGATGGATGACAGTGACAACTGCTGCCGTCACTGTTGTAGCTGCTGGACACAGACTCTGAGAGATCATATACACTAAAAGCTTCTCTGACCAGTAAGTGAAATAGAAATCCTAACAGACAACTACTTAAAGCAGGCCAGGTATCTTGTTGCTAGGCTGTTTGGGATGAAATGACTCAGCTCAAATTGGAAGCCTCCGGGACACAGGCGTGAAACACTCGCCTCTGACAGACAATCACTCTGCCTGGCTGCCACGCTTGTGGCCTGCCATGGGCAACGCGCCTTGCAGTACAGTTTTCTCTCCGTGGGTGTGGGCAGGGATGGCCAACTCTGACAAGATCACCTCTCACTGAACTACCTCAAGTAAACTGTTTCCTAGGCTAAAGCTTCTAAATTTAGAAATATTTGTCTCTACAAGTTGAAAAAAAAAAAAAAAAGCAAAGCATTTTCAAAAGGAAATAAAAATGGATTTATGTATCAGATGGAAGCCCTGCTAAAACCTCTTCTCAAAATTCAGTAGTGTTCTTGTGTGACACTAATTTTTCACAAAGCATGGAGTTCCCCGGACAAATCCAGACCCAAGAGAACTAAAGGTCTCTGGCTCCAATAACTCCACTGCTTAGGAACAGTCCATGGCTGAGAATAAAATGTGAAAGACAAAATAAAAGCATCACTTACACAATTCTCCTCAGAGAACAAACATTTTAGAAGACTTCAAAGGTTTCTGAAGCCCCACGGACTTCTTCATAGCCTCTGATAAAGCAACAAGTTACACAGAACTATACACATTGCTTTGGTCATTTCAAACTTGTAGTTAGACATAGTCACTTTATGGGTGCTGAAACGTAAATAAAATAAAAGAATGTGTGGGCGGGGCTTAGCAGTGATTGCTGAGCATGCCCGAGACCCTTGGTTCAATGCCCAGCACTGAAAGCAAAGGTTGACAAAACACGCATTGGGATTGGTTCTACTTTATTCAGGAGAAAGTATCTCAAATGTCCACTTACAGGTAAAGGCACCGACATAACTACATTTCCTCCGTAGACAGCAGGTACATAAAGAATACTTGTCCCAGTGTGAGGGTCTATTCTTTGAACGGGGCTTGGAGATTTCCCCAAAGTTGGGTGAGGTCCAAGAGGGGGCGGAGGAGTATATGCTCTAATAGGATTGCCAATAAGTACGGAAGGATTGGGCTGAACTGGAAAACAAACAAACAAAAAGGAGGCTCAACACATTGACCTTGACAGAAATGCTCTAGCTTCCCAGGTGACCCATGAAATGTGTCCACCAAAGAACAAGTGTGCAGAATAAAGGCCGTTAGGAAACAACCACTCCACAGCGCTCTCAAACACCAGCTGCAGCTGTGTGAAGGATACTCTCCCCAGCCTGCAGTGTGATGCATCTTCAAGACAGAGAACCATGGATGCACTAATTTGAGCCACAGCCTCAAGACATGGAGCCGACAGTTCCTCAGAATCAGGTTCTGACTAGCGGCTGTCACAGAGCCACATATGGAGTGCAGGTTCCAAAAGTGTGACGATGGTATTTGAGATCATTCTAATAAGCTTTATCTTGAAATTTGTATGGCACAACAAAAATTACCCGTGAACACTTACGCTGTGTAAAAGGCTATGCATGCTGGGAGCTAGAATCTGGCCACCTTTCAGAAATCAACACATTGTCGTAGAGAGTAAGACTTCACCAAGACCACAAAGTTCATATTTGTGTATGCCTGAGAGATGGGGGCATGGTAGGGTGTAAAGGGCGGGAAGAGAAAAGGAGAGGAGAGACAGATAGAAAGAAAGCTCCTTCTCATGGCAGTTTTAAGTTTCAGAGGCCAGCTTTCCTGGGCTAACCTCGCCACTCACCGATTCCGTCACTCTGAAAATGGTCGCTCTGGGGATGGTGGAGGCTTTTCCCCTTTAAAGACAAACACAAATATGCGACAACTTAAGCGTGTGACATTAGATAACAAAGTTTTTCCTGAGCACACACAGATTAGATAGGAATACCACAATTAAGATTTTGAAACTACGAGGATATATAAGAAACTATTTAGACCACATCAAGCCAACTTTCTTTAAGTCTATGCCCTCTCAGGCAACAACACTGTATCTTCAGTTTTCTGCTTCAAAACTGATGACATCTAAAATCCTTTTTTGTTTTCTTTTATGTTTTGAAGCTTTGCTTTATCTTAGTGTGTGTGTGTGTGTGTGTGTGTGTGTGTGTGTGTGTGCGCGCGCGCGCGCCTTTGTCATATGAGCACAGTTGTGGGAGGATGCTTAAGCATAAAGGTCAAAAGATATTCAATCTCTCAAAGAGAGGAGTTTGGAAGATGCTTATTACAAAGGCGCTGGAATGCAAACTCTAGTCCTCATGACTATGCAATTTCTCAACCTCTGAGCCATCTCTCTAGCCTCTGTTTTGTTAAGACAGCATTTTATGTAACCCAGGCTTGCCTCAAACTGGCTATATGGCTAGTTTGACCTTCTGATTCCTGAGTGCTGAGATCGTGGCTACCATGCCCTCTTTTATGTGGTGCGAGAGGTGGACCGCCAAGGTGCGAACACCAAGGGTGCCAAGGGCTCCCCTATCACAGCTGCACTTCCAGCCCTGCAAACTCTCTGCTAGATAGATTTTTGTTCGGTTTGGGTTTTGTGATATAGTCTGGCTGGCCTGGAACTTGCTATAGAATGGGCTGGCCAGAAACTCAGTGCCTTCTGCCTTCTACGTGCTGGAACTACAACAAAATGTGCAATCAGTACAACTAAAACCTATTTCTATCCTATGGTAACATTCTTAAAATTTTTCTAAAAATGAAGCCATAAAATATAAGTTGTTTTTCAAAAAGAAAATCTCAGTGCTCTACTCAAGAATCACGCTAACACTGACATGGTTTGATAATTTTTGTATGATTCATAGTATCTGAAAGAATTCAATTTTCTCTGGAAAAAAAAAAAAGCAAGAGAGACTGATGATTTTGAGAGAGACGTTAGTTAATTGCTAAGAGACAGTTTGGCAATATGGATCAGAAGCACCAAAAATGTACAGAGACTTCAATCCTGTCATTGCACTTCTAGGAATTTATCCAAATGAAATAATCAGGGTGCGGGCGCAGATGTCCACCACAGTGTGATCTATATGTGTGGTAAATGCTAAGAGACTCAAACACCCGTCCCTGCGGGCTTTATCAAATACGCAGCGACACCGGCGTCATACAAGGATATGCTAGTCCGCTCTGACATCACAGTCACCGAGGGACAGGGCCTCAGTCCTAAAGTCATAACGACTGGACCCTGCTGACCACCTACATCCGGATGACATAGACTCTTTCCAGGGCATCTAAGAGCCGGGTCAGCCACTATCCCAGTCCCAGCCTTGAAAACCTAGAACAGACAAATGAAGCAAGCCAATTCCAACAGAGCTGATAAATCTGTGTTCTTTTGAGGTCCCTACGCTAATGGTAAGGATGAGCAGCAGTGGGAAGCTGATACAAAGGTAACCATACCTGAGACTCATCTTACTTTACAGTGGGCAGCTTGCCAGCTGACAGACAGTACTACTCAGGGTATACTAAAGACAAAAGCACAATGGAGCCTGTCATACAAACAGGCGTCATGCCTTCATGTCTAATCCACGCAGCTCAAAGAGCATGGCTACCCACCATCCTTTGATTTAGTGGCTAACTGTAAGCAGATTTACTTGGTTTGGACAAAATGCGGCTTGGTAGTTTATAGTAAAAACTTGAATGTAGAAGCCAAATAGGGCTAACTATATGCAGAAGTTATTCTATAAAAATTTTTAGTTTCATCTGATAATGAACCTCAGCATGTGTGTTCACCTTTGCTCTGATGTTAGTGCAGGATCTTTTATAGGCAAATGTAGCTCCTGTATTTTATATCGACAAACAAATGTAACTTGTATCATCTGCCACTCATTTGTTTAAATGTTTGCTTTTTCATCACTCATTCTGTTTTCCCCACATATTCATTCAATAAATGTTTACTAATTTGGAGACCAGGAGAGATGGCTCAACAGTTAGGAGGCACACACACTGTCTTGCAAAGGACCTGAGTTCAGTTCCCAGCACTCGAGTCCAGGGGCTCAAAACTGCCTGTAACTCTAGCTCCAAGGAATCAGACATCCTCTTCTGGCCTCCACAGGCACTGTATCATGTGTACAAACCCATGTACATATAATTAAAACACAACTAAAAATAAAAATAAAGGCTGGAGTCAGCCATGGTAATGCATAAGCTTAATCCCAGCACTCAGGAGACAGAGGCAGGCAGACCAAGGAGAGCTGATGGCAGCCTGGGCTACACAGCAAGTTCCAGGGACACACAGTTGAGGTCCTATCTCAAAAATAACATCTCTTCAATTATTTGTTTGTTTGTGTATGTGTGCATGTGTGTGTGTGTATTATGAGAGTGACGTGGGTGGTGTTGGCGGTTACCCTCTTCCCTCCATATGAAACCAGAAAAGCCACCTCAGGTCATCATGCTGGCATAGCAATGCTTCTAGATGCCGAGTCATTTGCCAGCCCTGAATTCCCAACTTTCACATACCCTAATCTCCTGCGGTCCCTTGCAAAAATGTCCCCTGTTCTCTTGTGTCCTGTACCCGTTGTAAAAGCTTGCTGCAGTCTGAATCTGAAATGTCCCCAAAGACTTGACCCTTAGCAGGGGATGGACCAGACCCACAGAGGTGGAGCTGAGAGAGAGGTCTTCAAGTCCACGAATATATGTCTTTAGGGGAATTTGTGAGACTTGGTCCTTCCTCTTCCTTCTCAGTTTTTGCTTCCCAACCATGAAATGGGTGGTCTTCCTACCGTGACAAATGGTGTTTGACCCGCAGCAAAGGGGCCAACTGATTGAGAAAAAAAAAGAACTCTTCAATTTTGGGACAAAATAAAGCTTAGCACTTTGTAAGTCAATGGTATCACGTATTTGCGACAGCACTATACTGCAGAGCTTCCTTATTCACTTAAAAAATGCCTATTTTTCTCAGATGGGGTGTCATGCAGCCCAGGCTGGCCTGAACTTGTCACATAGTCAAGAATGACCACAAACTCCTGAACCTCTTGCTTCTATCTCACATATACTAGGATATCGGGTGAATTTATCACCACACCCAGGTAAAAAGTACTTCAAGTCTATTACAACCCTTCTAGGCACAGAGGCCAGGACAATAACTAACACAAGAAAAAAAAACCAGAGTTGAACTAGTTTGGGTTTCATTGTTGCTTTTTGTTTTGTTTACATTCTCTCCGCCCTCCCTACCTCCACCCCCTCTATAAACAAGGACCCCAAGTGCCTCTCTGACTCCACTTCCTGCTTCTGCCATCCTGCCCTCATCCACCCAATATCTGGCACAAAAGGACTTGGGGCTAGTTCGCTCATCTATGCTTCTAGCACCCAACACATCGGCACATACAAGAAACTTGTCTGTGCAGAATGCTTTACCCTCTAATAACACCACATCACAGAAGCAAAACATAATATGTTTTAATTAAGCTAAGAGCGCATGACTGTGCATCAACAGAGGGTCATTTCAAGCTTAGTACCTATTTAGTTAAAAGACCTTCAAACTATTAAGCCATTCATTATTGCTCATGTTAGGTATAACAAGAGCAATGCTGGCACACTCCTTAGATTCAGATCAATAAGTTTAAAGCCATGCCTACTAGGCACCAGCAGACGTCCATGGACCCCACATGTGCCACTCTCAGAACCTGCTCGTCAGGACGCTAACTGCATGAATTTTTTTTTCCAGGCACTGGAGCAAACAAGCCAGCTGTCCGTGCTCAAAATAACTGAGGCTCAAAACTGAAAATGGCCTTGACCTCCCCCTCCCCCCCAGCTCCGCTCCACTCCAAACAGGCTGCGGCCAGACTGCACAACCACTTCATCTTCAAGAATCCAGCAAGTTGCCTCAACTGTGTCAAATACCACTTGAAATGAAATAGTCATTAAAAAATTAGAATGCTTTTCTTTATTCAAACATTATTTTAAAACAATTCCTATACATAATAGCTTGTATGAACATGCTTTTAAATGTGTCACTGGGGCTGGAAGAAGATCTGGGTTGTAATAGACTCTTAAAGTGCTTTTTACCTGGGTGTGGCGATAAATCAGCAGTATCTTTAAGACTGAACTGACTCCCCCAAGTTGTCCTCTGACTTCCTCATCTATGCATGCATGGCACAGGTGTACCCACACATAAATTAAGTTTAAAATTTTTTTTAGATTTTTTTTTTTAATAAAATGTGTAATAATCCTTTAAGCCTTGCTTTCATGCACATTAGCTTCCAGCCTCAAGTCTACCAGCAAGGGATGGTGGAGGTTAAACAAAGGGTACCAGGAGCTTTCAGCTACCTCAAACTTTTAGAGGGTGACCACAACATTAAGCATGGCTCCCCACACCATGCTGTGTTGTCATTTATCCACCCAAATCTTGGGACAGTTCCTTGCAAATACAGCTGGCCAACAACTGTGACCTCTAAGACCGATGCTTTAACAACAAGCCGTGTGAAGCAGGGCCTTTACCTTGGGTGGCGACTGCTGCTGTCTGCTGCTGTTTCCTGAATGCTGCAGTCGTAAAGCCCGGGGGATAAATTCAGGAGCCAGTGGATTCAACACATAAGTCTTCTTGAGTTCTAAAGCCTCTAACTGAGCCTTGATCTGGTCAAACGTGATCCCGTGCAGGCTGTGATTTTCGTGACACAGGGCAATAAACCGCTCCCAAAACTTCCTGCAGAAAAGATTCAGAAACTCAGGTTACAAACAGCAGTGGATGAATGGAAGTAACAAAAGATAATTTCAAATTCTGCCCACTTCAAACAGTTAAGGTTAATATTCATCTAAGTACACTATAGACAGAATTCTTCTACTAAATGACAAAACCTTTGAAGTTTGCGGCTCAAAGTCAGCCTAGGAGCACACAAGACCACAAGAAACTTTGGCTCATCCATGCTATTACAGAATCATGTGTTTGTGAGCCATATAAAGATTTTCAAAACTGAAATTAGCTCAATTTATAGACAATCTGTAACTTTTTTCGGTGTTTTGTTTGTTTGTTTTTTTCAAGACAGCCTTGTCTGTCCTAGACTTGCTTTGTAGCTCAGGCTGGCCTCAAATTCAGAGTGATTGGCTTGCCTCTGCCTCCCCGAGTGCTGGGATTAAAGGTGAGTGCCACCACTCCTGGCTGAAAATCTGTACATACACATACACATATTATATACTTCTAATGATACAGGCAAATACACACATCTGCAAATGTAACAATTAGTCACCACCACACCACATGCATAAAGCAGTGGTTCCTATCGAATGATGTCATGGCTGCCCTTTCGGATCTGTGTGAATAACTGCTATGATATCATTAGATAACGACAACACCCAAAATTTCCTTTCTTAGAACTCATCAGTAAGTAACAAATGACTATCTATATACTACATATATAGAGAATTTAATTTATGTGCCTATTATATAGATTAGAAAGAGCCCTGGGTGGGGCTAAGGAGATGACTCAGTGGCACAGCATGAAGACTTGAGTTCTGAACTACAGAACCCATACAGAAAAAGGCAAGAATGTAGTACCTGTGACCCAGGAGGATCTGGAGGCTACTGAGCCCCAGAAAATCTTAAGAAAATAAGGTGGAATGGGGAGAAGAACACTTGACAGCCAATTTTAGTTCCTAACACCCACATCAGGTGGCACAATGGGTTCCACTCCAGCTCCCGGGGGCCTGACTTCTGGCCTCTATAGGCACCGACATACAAACGGAATTTACATACTGTCACCTACACATAAATAATAAGGTGGAAAGTGAGGAAGACATTTTAATGTAGACTTCCACAGGTACATGTGAAAACACACATTTACACACACATATACACAAAACAAAAGAACCTAGATATGTTATATACATAAAATCAATTCAGAACATAAACTGGAGCCATAAAGGAAATAATCTACATGAGGATTCTCAAAAATAACCAGCTACTCATATTTTTTACTCTTAAAGAGGCCTGGCATAAATACAATTTATAATATAGACTAAGTGGTAAGAACTAAATAAATCATGAAAAATATAGGGAATTGTGAAAATCGTACTATTGGGCAAAATAAACCAAACTCAAAAAAGACAAATATCATGTTTCCACTCATATAAAAAAAACCCTAGAATTAAGAGTGAGTCAGAGAGAAAGAGTATTCGTTACTGTGTGTGTGTGTGTGTGTGTGTGTGTGTGTGTGTGTGTGTGTGTGGTCATGAAAGCAGAAAGGGAACCATGAGATAAGAGGAAGAGATCTTGGAGGAGGAGAGGTGAAGGGAGTTTGCGGGACATGGAGGTGAAGGGAGGAGGACTGTTTGGTGGATGGCAGAGGAGGGGTCTGCAGAGGATGGTGAGAACAAAAAAGTGGGATGAGAAAGAAGAAAGCACTAACGTGCAGGAACATGCAAATGCCATGAGAATTACAACTTTGTATGCTAACTTAAAAAAGGAAAGACAAATACACAAAACTGGAAAACACTCCTGAGTGCTAAACATCAAATAATCACATCTGTGACACACAAAACAAAAACAATTGTCTGCAGTTGTAGTCTACTAAAAGTTTAAGAACGAATCTCCAAATGTGAAATAAATATTACAAAGGGCAACATAAAGTGTAAATATGTTCACTCGTTATAAAAATGAATAAAATAACAGATAATGCTGTTAAAAGACAGGTGATGTCGTTTCTTCCCAAGTTGGCATCCCCATGTCCAAATGGACAGTAGGTAATGAAGAAGGCTTCAAAAGCATCTCAGAAAAGTCTAGCATATAAAGTTAGTGTGTAAGAGGCTGTGGGTACTGACAGTCTTAATATGCAGAGTTAATTCTAAACTGTTACCTTTTACCATCTTCTCCTTTTATTGTGGGTGTGTGTGTGTGTGCAGGAGCATGCAGCCATGCGTATGGGGAGGAGGTCGGAGGACAATCCCCAGGGGGCTAGTCCTCTCTTTCTATCAACGGTTATGATGATCAGGCTTGTACAACATGCACTTTTACTCTAAGAACCTCGCTGGGCCTTTTGTCTTATTTTTTTAAAGGCAAGTTTAAGAGATACGTCTCTAGAAAAAAATTATCCTAAATAAAAAGAAAAGGGACGGTAAGACATCCACACTTGGGTATTTCTAAATACAACATAAAGTCTAGGAAGATGATCCTTTGGTTATAGGAATTGTGTGCTACTAAGACTTTTGGGATCCTTCATTTTTGTTTTAAGAACTCCACTTTAGTCTCATGCTTGGTGAAAGACACACATGGTATATACTCACTTAGAAGTGGATATTAGACATACAATATAGGATAAACATACTAAAATCTGTACACCTAAAGAAACTAAGCAAGGAGGACACTGGGTAAGATGCTCAATCCTCATTCAGAAAGGCAAACAGTATAGAGATCGGAAGAGGGAAAAAAACAGGGAATAGGACAGGAACCTACCACAGTGGGCCTCTGAAAGACTCCCCCACGCAGGGTATCAAAGCAGATTCTGAGACTCATAGCCAAATTTTGGGCAGAGTGCAGGGAATCTTATGAAAGAAGGGGGGAGATAAAAGATCTGGAGGTCACAGGAGTTCTACAAGGAGAGCAACAGAACCAAAAATACTGGCACAGGGGTCTTTTCTGAGACTGCTACTCCAACCAAGGACCAAGCATGGAAATAACCTAGTACCCCTGCTCAGACGTAGCCCATGGCAGCTCAGTCTCACAAGTGGGTACCCTAGTAAGGTGAACAGGGACTGTCTCTGACATGAACTCAATGGCTGGCTCTTTGATTATCTCCCCATGAAGGGGTGGGGCAGCCTTACCAGGCCACAGAGGAAGACAATGCAGCCAGTACTGATGAGACCTGATAAGCTAGAGTAAGAGGGAAGGTGAGGAGGACCTCCCCCTATCAGTGGACTGGGGGAGGGGCATGGGAGGAGAAGAGGAAGGGACTTCGGGATTGGGAGAGGGCAAGAGAGGGGGATACAAAGTAAATAAATTATAATAAAAAAATAAATAAGATTTTTAAAAAAAGGACTCCACTTTACATAGTTTCAGTTCCAGTTTGGATAGTGGGATGTTTTTAAGATAACTTGTTAATGATGGGTGGTAGTGGTGTACGCCTTTAATCCCCGCACTAAGGAGGCAGTGGCCTGGCCTACAGAGTTCCAGGACAACTAGGGCTATACAAGGAATCCTTGTCTCAACAAACCAAAAGACACTCTGTTTCTTTTATTAGTTATCTACCCACCACCTTTGTGCCTGTTGCCATGGAAGCCAGAAGAGGGCATTATATCCCCTGGGCCTGGAGTTACAGTCAACTGCAAGCTGCCACATGGGTGCTGGAAGTCAAACTCAGGTCCTCAGGAAGAGCACCAGTACTTTTGAGTGCTGCGCAGTCTCACCAGCCCTGTAAGCTCCCTTAACCTTCATACCCCATCCCAATATCAACCTTGGCCTATTAAATAGGATCTGTGACAGTGAATTTGGCAGACATGCCGAAGAACCTCACATTTCATGAGAAATGGCTCATTAACCCCAGAGATTGCAATCAAATAACTTTTCAGCTACAGGATGCTTTTGGTCTTTTTTGGAGGGCAAAGGGGGTGTGTTTTTGCTATTGCTACTGCTTGAGACAGGGTCCCCATCTCTAGCCCAGGCTGGCCTGGAACTCACAACAATCTACCGCCCCAGCTTTCCAACTGCCAGCATTACAGTGGCAGCCTCCATGCCTGGCTTAAAAGACACCATTTCAGAAGGCAATCCAAACATTTACCAGAAATTATTCACATTTCAAAAGATAAAATTTATGTTTTATGCCGGACTTATCTTCTTGCTGTCCCACTGATAGAGAAAAGGCCTGGTTCTGTCCCAGAAGCTGCAATATGCAGCGGTCTCTAGCACGTTTCTCTTTGCACTGCCTTCCTCGTGGACAGCATGGGGGACAAAGTATTACTATCACTCCTTACTGTGTTTCTCATTAAATTTCTCAGTTCTAGACTTTCAGAGAAAACACAGGGAGAAGGGTGCTGGAGAGTCATCCAGGGCCTCCTGCAGCCTCGGTAAGCATGTACTGTTTCCTAAAAAAACAGTACATGGGGTTTTTGTAGGGAAGTACATTCTATGACATGTTATGTAGAAGCTAGAGAAACTTTGTGACACTGCTTGTCCCCTCCCTTTACATGGGTTCTCTAGGTTTATGTGGCAAAGGCCTCGACCTGCTGAGCCATCTTACCTATCCCAAAATTCTTAGTTTTAAAGCTAAAAATATTTTAGGTTTTTCTTTCCATAAGTGCTCTTTAAAAAACTGTTTTACACTTGGCTGTGGGTTTCTGAGTGTGTGCGCATTTCTCCGTGGATGCACTTGTGCATGTGTGCCTTGGCATGTGAATGGCGGGCAGAGGATAATTTGTGGGGTTAGTTCTCTCTACCCTCCATAAGGATGGAGCTCAGGTCATCAAACTGCCACCAGGTGCCTTTACCCACTGAACCATTTCAACAGCCCCACGCAGTCTCTTACAAGGACCACTCACATTAGCATCGTGAGGAATTTCTAACATGACATGGAAGGTGATGGGAGAGTTTCAGCCGTGTTCATGCGGATGAGAGTTCACCACTGTGCTTAAAGGCTTCACCATCCTTGTATGCTCCCTAAAACAGCAGTCTCTTACTATGCCAACCATTTTTTTAAGTAATGTTGGCTGGAAAGCCACTAATTCTACCCACTGTTGGGGTAATTTCATGTATCTGAGACAACGTTATGCTACTTTTCCTTTTGTGTGAGTGAGTGCACGTATGTGGATGTGAGTGTGCATATGGCTAGAGGCCAGAGGACAACTTGAGGAGCAGGCAACCTTGCTTTGTTGGGGGTTTCTTAGTTTTGGTTCAGTTTTTAAGACTGGGTTTCTCACTGGCCTAACGTTAGGCTAGGCTGGCCAGCACCTGGATTTGGCAGTGGGGGAGGTAGAAGGAGGCACGAGAGATGGCTTGCCAACTGAACTCGGGTTCTCATGTTTCTGCGGCAAGCGCTTTCCTGACTATCTTTCCAGCTGAGCGCTGCCGGTAGTAACTAAAGAAGGCATGAGCCAGAGTAAGTCTGTTTTTGCTTTTCTGTTGGCTTTGTTTCTAGAATCACTAATAAAACAATGAAAGGTCATGTGAATATACACACACACGCACACATACACACACACCCAAATAAGTATTCCCTGGCTGTCTTGGGGAAACACGAGTTTCACGCTTGGATCATATTCTACACATGCATTAAACACGTCAATATTCACCAATGTAATGAAAAGTACTAATAACGAAATTCAGTTCTAAGAATGAATTCCTTTGAGGCTGTGATGAGGAACAACACTGTCGCTGTGTCGCCGCCCTGTTCCTGCACAGACCTGTCATGCGCTGTCATACTCGTGAGCAAGGTAGGCTTTGGGAGAAAGGCCTGAGTTTTGAAGTCACTCTGACAGCTGTTTTTGTGAACCACATGACAGCTCTGTGGCCTTCAGCTGCTGTATGTAAACTCAGTGCATCAGGCTGCCCATTCACAATGAGAACAGCCACACTGTATGGTTGTCGGTTCGACTAAATGGGGCAATTGTGGGAGAGTACACGGGCAACGTCCAGCAGAGATGGCGGGTGGGAGCAGCCACTGGATTGATATTTGCTAGTGGAGGAGGAAGAAGTTCTTTTTATCTATTTCAGACTAACAGACAAATTCTGCTCAAAACAACAACAGATTAAGCTGGTGTAACACACAGGCTTCGTTTCTTGAAACACACCCGAGTATGCCATGCTACTCTCTAACAAACTGCACCCACGGTGGGAGGGGGCTGAGGAAGGCAAACTACTGGGAGTGTACCCCTCCCTCTGCGGGCCCGGGAGTCACGTCACATGCCCTGGACGGAGCCAGGGCTGCTAAGTGTATTGCTTGGTTGGCAAAGTTATTATCACTGACTTTTTCACTATCAACTCTTGGGCTGGAACCATGATTTAAATGATCCAAATGAAAGAGGCAATCAGCCAGCATTCCCTTTGTGTAATCTCTCCCCCTCAACAGCCTGTTACTCCCCCGCAAACACTTTGCTTAGCACATGAATTATTTGCAGTCCGTGGTAGACCTGAGATTCAGTCAGAAATAAGCCATTGGCGGACCCGGCCTCAAGCTAAAAATTAGCCCTGTACTATTTGACAACAGGCTACAGGAAGAATTCTTCACCTGTCTGCTCAGGGAGATGACAATTCACAGCTAAGAAAGACTAACAAGGCTGAGTCTAGGCTACCCAGTGCAGTCCATCTACAGAAAAGGTAACAGCTTCTTGGACAACACTTGGCTGTTAAATACTTAGAGGTACTTACAAGGAGAGCCCACAGGAAAGTGGCTCTGAACTGTCTGTACCTGTTCACCTCCCTAACAGTACAGAGCTGTCTGCATCCACACCTTCCCATTTTGTATTTTCTAATCATAAACATAAATGGCAAAACACTGAAACATCCTAACCGGCACACTTTGGATACACACTTGAGCAACCAAAGCAGAATTCACAGGATGGGAGACTCACTAATATATTTAGTCCTGACCCATGAAATAGCTTAGCAGGTAAGAGTGCTGCTAAGCAGGGTGCTCCCAGTGAGATCCCTGGAGCTCAGAGACCCAACTACACAAAGTTGGCTGTGGACATCCATGTAGAGGCTATAGTATCAATGCCCACACATACATCATGCGCGCGCGTGCGCGCGCGCACACACACACACACACACACACACACACACACACACACACACACAC